GGAGATGGAGCAGCTAAGAACAAGATGATGGAAGGAGATGGAGCAGCTGAGAACAAGATGATGGAGGGAGATGGAGCAGCTAAGAACAAGATGATGGAGGGAGATGGAGCAGCTAAGAACAAGATGATGGAGGGAGATGGAGCAGCTAAGAACAAGATGACGGAAGGAGATGGAGCAGCTAAGAACAAGATGATGGAAGGAGATGGATGTCAGGGGAGAGCAGAGGTAAAAGTCAGGAGACTTTACACTCACAAAATATAAGAAATGAACAAAGGTGAGGTCAAAATGAATTCTTGGGTCAGAACAGAGAAACAAAAAGAGAATAAGGCTATCTAGCAGATTGGAATTCAAAAGGAAAGCACGGGTGTAGATAACCCAAGGATGTTAAATGAGAGTGTGGGAGGTACCAGGGAAGGGTCATCCAACCAGCAAAGGGCAAGGCCAATAAGGAGGGACTTGTCTGAATTAGGTGGACTTAATTCCTGTCGTGTTGATAGTGCTGTTGACACAAACCACTGACATCTGGGTCGGGTTAATCCCACACTTCTCTCTCTTTTAAAGGAAGAGAGTAAGGAAAGTAGAAAAAAAGGAGGAACAGAATAAATGGAAAAAGGGGAGAAAATGATTATTTGCCAATAAATACCTTACTGTGATGGTATTGTGTTCCCCAAAATATTGTGTACCTTAATAAATTTATCTGGGGTCAGAGAACAGAAAAGCCACTAGATACTTAAGATAGGCAGTGATAGCACACGCCTTTAATCCCAGCCCTTGGTAGGCAGAGCTAGGTAGATCTCTGTGTGTTCAAGGATACAGGCAAGCATGGTGACTCACGCCCTTAATCTCAGAAATCGAGCCTTTAATCCCAGGGAGTGGTGGTAGAAAGCAGAAAGATTTATAAGGCATGAGGACCAGAAACTAGAAGCATTTGGCTTGGGTAAGCATTTGGCTGGTTAAGCTTTTACGTTTTGAGCAGCACAGTTCAGCTGAGACCCATTCTGGATGAGGACTCAGAAGCCTCCAGTCTGAGGAAACAAGACCAGCTGAGGATCGGGTAAGGTGAGGTAGCTGTGGCTTGTTCTGGTTCTCTGATCTTCCAGTTCATCCCAATACCTAGCAGGTTTGATTTTATTAATAAGAACTTCGAAGACTCCTGCTACACCTTACTAAAAATTAAAACCTCTTACAGGTAAATTTGTAATAGTAGTTGTTACGATATTGCACAAGGGAGGTTCTGGGTGGCCAGGCCAAGGATGTCCCTCGAGTGACAGAAACATGCTGGGGAAACAGTCAGTCACTCACACCCCAGGCACTGCATCCATGTGGAGAATGTTTATTTGATAGAAAGATATAAAGAAAGAGGGAGAGAGAGAACGAGGGAGGAGAGGGGGCGAGGGTGCACACCCCATGGGAATAGAGGGGGGTAAGGGGCAGTTTTGTTTTTTAAAGGGGATTTTACATCAGGACACTGAGCAGGTCTCCAAGGGGTGGGTCAGAATGCTAAAAATAGTTTAAATATATTTATCTCAAACTAAAATCATTTGCCATGGTTTGAACGTTCTTGTCCTAAGTAAGCAAACAGTGTTGAATGCTGAGACCCTGAAGATGTGGTTAGGCAATCTGTGCTTTGCCCTCATGGGCAGACTGGCTATTATCAGAGGAATGGGTTCATTCATTGAAAGTAGTTTCTGATAAAATGATGCACTTACCACCACTAAAGCTACTTCTTAGATCCCACCTTCTACCATGGGATGACTCACTCAGCATCATGGGGTGGCTCAGCACAATGGGATGACTCACTCAGCACCATGGGATGACTCAGCACCATGGGATGACTCAGCTTCATGGGATGGATCAGCACCATGAGATCACTCAGCACCATGAGATGACTCAGCACCATGAGATGACTCAGCACAATGGGATGACTCAGCACCATGGAATGACTCAGCACCATGGGATGGCATGGCTCAACACCATGGGATGGCTCAGCACCATGGGATGGCTGAGCATCATGGGATGGCTCAGGACCATGGGATGACTCAGCACTATGGGATGGCTCAGCACCATGGGATGGCTCAGCACCATGGGATGGCTCAGCACCATGGGATGGCTCAGCACCATGGGA